ATTTGTTGCTGACGTCAGCAACCCTCGTTTGGGACCTCGGGCTGAACTGGCCTTCGGGCCAGCCCGACTTGCTGGGACCCACTCCCTGCCCGGACTTGGGCTCACCGCTGGAACACCATTTTTTCTTTTTTTCCCCCCAGCCCGTGTCCCAGCTCCTCGCTGGAGCTGCTCTTACAGCCTTATCTTTACTTTGTTTATAAAAAAACCAAATACATCCGTACTTGGTTATTGTAGTTCATGTGAGAAACCTGCTACTTTGTTACTACTCACAGTTTGATATACATGCATAAAATTTTGTTTTTGTGATTATGATAAATTATTTTTGTTTATATGTTAAACTATTATTTGTAGGAAGTATAGAATATGTCTTCTTTCCTGAAAGGAGGCAAGCAATGTCCTTATACACACGTTGTAACGTCAAAATTTTTGTTTGTTCAATCATGAAATGTAAGGGATCATCATCCTTGATATATTGTTTTTGTAATGAAAAGGATCATAAAAAATTAAAAAGAGAGATCAGATATGAGTAATGAATTATTAATTCTTTCATTTATTATTAGAATAGGTCTATAATGGACATTACACTGACAGCAATTGACAAAAACTCCTCTTATAGATGAATTTAGCATTATCATGCACTGTGGTAGCTGTTTCAATGAATCAGAAGCTTGCAAAAATAAATATGAATCTCACAATTGCCATTTCATTATGTGGTCATCAGTGAAGGCAAATAAATCAATATAATTATTTATTCTTACAGATCATTGAATTAAATTTAAAAAAAGAACATTCACAACACAATAGTTTACTTACAGTAAGCCATCTAAACCTAATACAACAACTGGATAAATGAAAAGCTGCAGAAACCAAACAAGCCCTTGATACTGCTTTTACCTGATCCAGTCACAAGTTTTCAGTACAGCCATGACAAGTCTTGTCTGAAAGATACAGACTTTGCAGCTCCCAGAACTCCTCTTTCAGAAATTTGAGGACAATCTTCCACAGCCAACAATTCCAATTTGTATGACCCTACAAGTGGCTTTAACCCATCATCAGAAACCCCTAAACACTTGATTAAACGCAGAATGGACAACCGGGGAAACTGCCCCACAAGCTGCAGCCCCTCGTCGCTTATCTCTTGGCATCTGACCAGCTCCAAGGTCTCAAGATACTGAGCCAAGCAAAGAGCTTCCATTCCAACATCGTTAAAGGAATACACTTGGTCAAAAGCAAGTTCCCGCAAAGGGCACTTCTGAATCAAACTAAGGATTCCATCCAATGTAAATGAGGAAAATGAAGGGAAATCCCCATCAGAATACGATATCCTGACAGATTCAAGCACCGAACAGTTCTGAGCCACAGCTTTTAGACATTCATCGGTTAATCTCAGTGGATTATTCATCAGAAGAGGAAGTGAGAAATCTGATGGAACTCGAAGGAAAATGGAGCGGAGATTTTTTGATTTTTGGGCTAAGCCTATGATGTCAGAGTCCCTTACCCCAACACACTTGTCCAAGTGAATCTTCTCCAAATTCTTGCACTTCCCCAGCACACAAGCAAGCCCCCTCCCAGGGCTGATGATACAATTTACCAAGCTAAGTTCCACCATGTTCTCACATGCGACCCACTGCTTTTGCCAGCGATCCACAGCTGAACGATCATAAACTTTCATATATCTGTAATTCACATCTACCTCAAATTGCAAGCATTTTAGTTTTTTCCAACTAGAACCTAGCTTAATCAAATCACCCTCCCCAATAGCTCTACAATTCTTAATTGAGAGATCTTCAAGTGTTTCAAGCTTTCCAAGATATTCAAGCCACTCAAAACTGCTAACATTTAGACATCGTACAAGGTGGAGGATAGTGAGAACTTTGCAGCCCGCAACAAGAGATAATATGCCACAGCCAGTAATTCTTGTTGTGAAATTCAACTTCAAAGCTGAAAGTTTTGAGCAAGAAGACAAGTTACCAAGGCCCAAATCAGTGATGAACGTGCAGTAGCTTAATGTGAGATCAACCATAGAAGGGCAGCAATTGGAAAGAATAAGAAGCCCTTCGTCATCCAACTGCTTTCCTAGTTTGGACATCCAACCAGCGTAAGTTATCTCTACCTTTGTCAAGTTGGAAAACCTACTGCAGAGAGAAGTCAAAGCTTCATTTGCAGGGTCTAATCCACAACCAACCCGAAGAGATTGTCTCTGTTCATTATCCAATCCGTGCAGGCGTTTACACACCAAAGACAAAGAGTTTCTATCAGTGGTTTTCTTAACCCTGCTCAAGATCTCCCATACTAACTGGTCCGGCAAACAATCCATCATAATTCTGTAATTTCCTTTATTGAGAATAGACTAGCACCACCTGAGATTACAACAAAAGCCAATACGAGAAGTTTTAGTCTGATTATGGGAAAATCGGAACTTGGAACAAGAATATTCACAATAAAAGCTTAAGAGATGCTGTTTAAAACAACTCGATATCGTTGTTCTAAACACTTGAATAAACAGTAATGAGTGTCACGAGACTTTCTCACATGTGCAGCCACCCTCTTTTCATGAACCGGAAAGGAAAATGCAAGCTCTCCATCAAGACACCCTTACCGTCAAGGAAGCCATTCCGATAAAGCACAGATACCAACAAAACTAGGTTCTTTACGACAGTTTCTGTTATGAAATTACATAAAACTAACAATTCTATGGTATGAAATGAAGCTTTCAGTATCCTCCTTAGAATTTACAAACTCAAGAATAAAATCCCAAGAAAACCAAAAGGCCACTTGCTAAATAAGGAATAAGAAAACAACCGAAAGAAATCAAATTAACCACGAAAGGATAAAGAAAGCTATCATCACCCAAAAATGAGGGCCTATCCTACAAATTAGTGATTTCCTATAATTCAGGAAACCCATAGAAAGAAAAGAAAAAATAATAATAATTCCACTATTTGATCCAAAGAAATTGAAGAAACACCATTTCCCATTAGACCAAAAACAACCAACCCACAAAATTTTCACAAATCAAAAGAATTAAAATTGACAATTACCCGTTGATCATGCCAATCCCTATAATAACCAAACTGCATACCACAATAACAAAGGTAATCAGATATAGTTAATCTCAAAGGAAATTAAGAGATGAAATGACAAACAGCCCAGAGCTATAATGTCGAAAGCTGAAGCCAAAGCACAGAAACATGAAAAATCATACCATAATTTGAACAGGAGCAGAGAGACAAGACGATGATGATGATGATGATGATGATGATGATGATGATCAGGATTAAGGAAGGGCGAGGAAGATGGATATTATGAAAATGCCAAATTTATTTGTGTTTCATTTTTCAGTTGGTATAGGAACCTTTATTTGACATTAATTGCGAAGTGGAGATGTATCTATTTGAAGATCTAAATCCTCTGAGGTTGGTCACACGATCATAGAGTGTTAGATAGATCCTAGAGTGTCAGATAGATCTGAATGGTTCAGGTGGTAAAATTAACGGTAACAGTTATCACCTCGTATCCCAATGTCACTTGTATAAAGAAAACATTTTTCATGTGAAAAGGGATAGACAATGACAACAAGTGTGTGTT